TTTTTTTAAGCATTTTCAATTACTAAATTTGGATAATAGTGTGTTAAAAGAACATTCAAATAAATAAAATATACATTATTTAACAAATGTTATTCAAACTATTTGGAAACCGATTTATTAAGGTGTGACGACAATGGCAATGTTATTTGGAAAACAACAGCAGTCTAAATAAAAAACACCTAAGGCTGATAAAACATTTTGTTAGCAATAAACAATTTTGGTTATCGTTGTATGAAATTATTTTCCAATATTTTTAATATTCTTGATTTTTTTCGAACACAGAAGATTAAACTGTTAATTATATTATTTATCCAATAAATTAAGGTGATTAGGTTACGCTCTGAAAGATACAAAGTTAGTCTAACTTAAACTATGGTTTTTCTAAGGGCAAAATACACATCTAGTTGGACTGAGTGTTTAGAAGCTTGGTCTAAATTAAAATACGCTTATTAAAGTTGCCTAATAAATTTCTAGTTCCAAAAACTAAAGAAAAAGTTGTTTCTACAAAACACTTAGTTAGGCCAAAATAAATTAATCATGTCACTACATTATATATATTTTAGGTTGCACCAGCTATTTTATTTTTCTGCGTAGGGGGGTAGTCAGTGTTGGGAAAGGATAACTATAAAGTTATCTAGATAAGATAACGGATAATTGAGTTATATATCATCTAGATAAGATATTAAATTATTCATTTAACATTTATTTAGCTAAAAGATAAAGATAAATACAATTTTATCTAGATGAAAAATAGATAAATTAAATTTTAACCTTCATAAAATGTTATACGAAAATGTATGAGTGAAACAAAGTATTTTCACAGATTACAGAATAATTTAATAACCAATAAGACGTAGGTACTAAGAAATGGACAGTTACGTCAAAGAGCAAATTTTCCTTATATTAGATTTCGTGATTTATGGCTACTCTGTTCATTTGTCATTTATTATTTTCATGTATTCTGTTTATGTCATCTTTTATGTAGGCAACAGTAATAGTATAAATAGGTATAAAAAGTAAATACGAGTTTATCAAACTCGATAATCGGTGACGGGACATTTCATTATCGGTTGAAACTATTTATAAACATATTGTTCTTCTTTGAGGCTTAACTATCGTTTTGGCCACATACGGTCTACGGACTACGGAGAGCCAACATTATGTTTAAAATGTTTATTACAAGGTTTTGTTATTTTATTTTGATTGAAAATACAAATAACTTTTTGGAAACGGCTCATTGTTTATTGGACTTGTATTACTATTTACTATTTTACTTTTATAGTCTTTACTCTTTACCCTATATGTAGTTACTGATACAGGACTCGCCTGACATGTATATATATTTGTAAAATATAATTTATAACCATTCTGCTCAAATAAACACCTGCACTTTCAACCATTTTTTTTGTTGGGATTTTGGTCAATGTTAATCTTGAAATTATTATCGTAAAAATTCTTATAAACACGTTTTATATAGCACTAGTAATTATTTCGAGAGTACTGGGAAAAAATTATCAACATTAAATAAAAACTGAGCACTGTAGTCGAGAACTACGAATATAAATAATAAATTATACGATAATACATATATAACTCTTATCTACTTCTATCTATTAAAAATAGGTAAAAGACGTTTTGTATAATCGACTAAAATACATTGGATTACAATGGAATATTGGACTTGTCTAACAAGCCAACCAATTTTTATATCACTAATCACTATTCATTATGACATAGGTATATTAATATTTTTAGGCTAGGACTACATTATGCGTTTCGTCGGATCCCGAAACCTGTTTTTGTAAAACCCACGAATAAATAACTTAAAAAATAGTTACAATTTCTATCTAGATTAATTACCTCAGATAACCGATTTGTTTATCTAAATAAGATAATAAGATGAATTACTTTTTTTATCTAGATAAGATGTTAATTACAATTTTTTATCTAGATAAAATTATCTAGATAATTCCCAACACTGAGGGTAGTACACAAATAAACAGTAAAAGTCTTTCAAATATTAGTTTTAAATTGAAAATGGATGACTCATTAAATATAGGACATAAAAATAATTGTAATTTTTAGTTTTTTATTTTTGAAACATTTACAATTAGTAAATTTGAATATTTAATTGTCAAAAAAATATTCAAAATAATATATTATACATTATTTAACAAATGTTATTTAAACTATATAGAAACTAGGTCATAAAAATATGAAGGCAATGGCAATGTTATTTGAAAAACAACAGCAGTTTATCTAAAAAACACCTAAGCCTGATAAAACTTTTCGTTAGCCGTAAACTAATTTGGTTCTCGTTGCATGAAAATATTATCCAATATTTCAAATTTTTTAAATATTTTTCTAACACAATGAATCGAAATGTTAAATATATTATTCAATTTGAAAATTAGGGGATTAAGTTACCCTCTGAAAAATATAAAGTTGGTCAACTTTAAATTATGGTTAATATAACGGCACAATACATTTCTAGTTAGACTGAGTTATTAAAAATTTGAACTAAATTTAAATACGCTTATTATAGCGGTTCACTATATTTCTGGTTCAAAAAACTAAGTAATAGTGGTTTTAACAAATAATTGAGTCAAGCCAACTAGAATTTAATCGTGTTTCTACATTAAATATATTTTAGATTTGCACCAGCTATTAATTTATTTTGCGTAGGAGGGTGGTACACAAATAAATAATAAAGATTTATCAAATATATGTTTTATGGTGAATACCGATGATTTATTAAATATAGAACACAATTGTTTTCCATATTTACTCTAGCAGTAAACAATTTTGGCTATCGTAGCATGAATTTATTGTCCAATGTTTTAAATATTCCTGATATTTTTCGAACACAATAGGTCAATACGTTAAATAAACTATTTAAACTATAATTTAAGTTGATCAAGTATGTGATTTATAGAGTTGCTGTTCGAAGGTATTGGTCCAGTAATAAAAAAATTGTAAATGTGTATACAAACAAAATAATAAAAAAGGCCACTTCATTGTAAAACCTATAGCATCACTGCTCCACATCAAAGCTAAAACATTTTTCTGGATTTTTGTGTAAAAGACTTCAAAGTGGTCAAATTATATGTTGTGGGGGTCGGTGATTGCGAATTTAATATCAGTTTTCAATTTTACTTAGCCAAAAAATACTTAAATAAAGAATTAAATTAAATTAAATAAAATCCTAAAAATGGTACTCAAGTATTAAAACTAATTAGTATCATTCTGAATAGATGTCCATAAAATGTTGTGATGATTTCATGAAGTTCTTTTATGATTTAAAGAGTATATGTTAAATTATACAATATCTTATACAGTTTTCTGGCAATTTTAGCAATACTGAAGTGCCGGATTTTTACTTCGTTTAATATGCTATGAATACATATGAATTCTAAATGCTGACAAATTTATAACTTTCAGATCCTAAAATTGTAAAAAAACACAGTTTTCCGGCGATTAAAACATCATAGGAATATTTGAACGACAATTTCATGCAACGCTAACCAAACTTGTTTTTGCTAACGAATTGTTTTGTTAGCCTTAGGTGTTTTTTTGATACACTACTGTTGTTTTCCAAATAACATTGCCATTGGCGTTTTACTTTGATAACTCGGTTTCCAAATAGTTTGAATAACATTTGTTAAATAATGTATATGATATTCATTTGAATGTTTTTTTGACACATTTTTTTCCAAAGTAATTAATTGTAAATGATTTTAAATAGAAAAACTTAAAAGCCAGTACAGTAGAAGCAGAGCATGGTGGGGTCTGGACATAATGAGGACGGTGAGGTCACAGGTTTACCGGACATTTTTAATCTGAAGATGATAAAACCACTTTCGAATAAACGCTTCGATGCGAATAAGATGCTTTTCAAGCCAATACAGCCCAAACCAAGCACAGTGTAAACCAGCAAAGTGAGAAAGTATTAAGTTGAGGTGCTGTATTTACAAATAAGCATCAAAGCATTTATTTTAAAGTGATTTTATTGATTTTATTTATAATAATTCCTGAAGACCGGTGACCTCTCCGTCCCCTCTATGATTTGATTCCATTATGTCTATACTCTACAGTACTAGTCCTCTCGGATAAAATCACTTTCACATCTAGAATGGGCCGAGTAAACTGGCCACCGCCGGATAAAATATATGTCGCGAATAATGTAAAATTTATATGAGATATCTTGTATGTATTGGTTTATAATTAATACACATCAATACAATGTATTGTAGCCTAGAAAAATGCTAATGGTAATATTTAACAATGAATGATTATGTGTTTTTTTTATATAGGTTATTTATCATTATCGAGCTTAGAAATAGAATTATATTTTTTTGAGTTGTATAAAAATGAGTTTTCAACTATTCCAAAGTAAGTTTAATTATATTTTTTCTAGTTATCTCAATACCAATTATTATATTAAAACTTACCTTTTAAAAAACTCTTAAAATTTTGTTTAGAGATTTTTTTGTTTAAAAAAAACTTTTTTTATATGAAGCAATAAAATAAATACTAACGAAATATAAGAGCAAAATGGTTTATTTTCCAATCAAGAATATAATTTTGTATGTGACATACTACATAGTACATACATGTATTATTCTAAAACTGCAAAATTAAAATTTTGTATAATCGATCTAATAACATCTTCTTTTGTCTGAATAGGAAAAGTGTATTCTAAAAGCACAAAGTATTATACATTTTTTAATCAAACGAAGCAGACCAATTCAACAGCAAATATATTAAAGAAAAAATATGTTTTCCACTTGCAAAAAATTATTATCTGATATTTTCGTAATTGAAGAAAAATAATGTAAAATTACATATTAAATTTAATTTTTATAAAAAATTATATAATTTATAGTTGTGCAATTAATGATAGACTTTATTATTAAAATGCCTTTTCAATAGTTTTTTAACATTTTTCTCAACATATTTATTAAAAAAATTTTATTGTATATTACTTAAAATATCCGCTTTCAATTGGTCTTCTTTATGAATGGATATATCCTTTTTGAGTTGAACTCTTATACCAAAAATGACAAAACTTAATTTAACAAAGTTTATACTTCCCGGACATGCATTTCTATAAAATAATGTTTCTGCATATTCCTATTTTTTATCAGAACAAAAATAGGCATTAAAATGTATATTAAAATTTACAACTAAAACATTGTAATGTACACATTATAAACATAAGATTCATTTTCTAAAACAATAATTCACATTTTGCACTTCAAAACCCTTAAACTGTAATATAGTAATTTTAGTTTTTTATTTACCTGCTGAGTATCGTCACCTACAATAAATCTCGTTAGATTTAAACAATCTGTTAATGTATATTGACGACCTGAAAGAACAAAATTTTAAATATATTCATAAAAAATCAGATTAATTATAATATTGTGTTACAATATTTTTATTTTTAGTTATTACAGCAATTCTGTAAATCACAAATTTTATCTAGTTGGTTATAAACACTGCTTCTGGCTTTAATTTTTTTTTACTAATAAGTAATATATGTAAGTATAATATTTTATTGTTTTCTCCAATATAGTATAAGATTTACTTTTAATTTCAATGCTGCAGACTCAATTATTCTTTAGAAAAATATAAGAAATAAGTATACAAATTAAGGATCTATGTATAGGTTTTTTAGATGCGTTTTGTTATGTTTATTGTCAATCTAGTAAAATATAATAATAATAGAGCTATGAAAAATATAATTTATAAAGTATAAAAAGTTAGTGTGAGATTGTTCTAATGGAAGAAGTATATAATACAAAAATATTATTTTTATTGAGTATAAGCGATTATAATTTAAATTATGGAGTACAAACGGTTGAAACATAAATCACCGACCATTCCAACTAAATTTAACAATAGTACAGTGGGGTTGGGGCATATGGGGACGGAGAGGAAACAATTTTACAGGAATTATTACAGCTGAATATGTAATAACATCACTTTCGAATAAAAGCTTTGATGCAAATCAGTGATCAGTATTTTCAAACCAATAAAGTCCAAACTGAGCAAAGTAAAAAAGAATTAAATTGAGGTGCAGTGTTTACAAATTAGCATCAAAGCGTTTATTTTAAATCGATTTAATCTAAAAGGACTAGTTCAGTGGGTCGAGTTATAATGGAAACAAAGCATAGAGAGGACGGAGAGGTCACGAGTCTACAGAAACTATTATTAATAAAAGTCATAAAATCGCTTTCAAATTAACGCTTTGATGCTTGTTTGTAAATAATGCACCTCAATTTAATAGTTTCTAGCTAACACATTTGTTGAATATTGTCCTATTATTTATTACCTTCCAATGTATTTTCAAATTCATCACGTCTGAGGATAGTTGCTTTTGCTCCCGTAACAATTTGTATATAGCGCAAAGCTTCAAAAAAGTCATCGTAGCTGATGCCATTCGTTTTGTGATAAATTTCATCGACTTTTCTTACTACCACAGCCTATTGTTATAAGAATAAGAATTAGTCATTTAATTGTACATAACACATTGCAAATAAAACTAATCCTTCTTTAATTAAATAAAAATGCCTAACTATCAGTAATATTATATGGCTTGCGAATTTGTTTAGCATTATAACATAAATTGTATAGTAGTTAAAGTATATTTTTTTGTTATTGTTATCAATAATTGGTTATAAGGGAAAATATTACTTAAAAAACTCTTCGGTGCAGCAATGTAGGTGGTTAAAACATTAAGTGACTTTTCTAATCAATACATTACATTTTATACATTTTTAAGCAACTATCTCAGCATTTTGTATTAAAAATAAATAATAAGTACTCGTTATTCTTACAAGTTGACTTTCACTAGGGCCTTGACCAGCACATTGACATTGCAAAACGTACCATGCAATGCAAATAAATAGCAACATGATTTTCGAATACATTTTAAGTGTTCAAACGATAAACTTGGATACGGAATATGACGATTTTATAATGTTATGGGAATATTGTATTCTTGCTTGATGACTGTGATTCAAATAGTGGTTTTCCGAACAACCACAGTACTTAATATAAGAAAATTTACTTGAAGAATGCAAACAGTACCATGTCTGTAGGTGTTGATCCGTGCAAATTGTTTTAAGCAACAGATACTTTTGAATATTTTTATTTGCGTTGTATGACATACTTAATACACGCAATTCCTTACTGTTATTTTTTTACGTACATACTACATTATACTGTTTACTCATGTGCAAAATATATGCATATATTGTCAACGTTTATCGATAGTGTCCCATCTAAAGAATATATCTAGAATGGGACATTAACACAAACAAACAATTATCTTAAAAATCTTTTGTTACCGTCAAACGGGCCATCATAGGGCATTATGGGTAATTTGGGGCATTGGTCGAATATATTATATTTAAATGTATATTTTTTTACACATATGCCCCAAGTTGGCTCATTTGACGGTAACCTTTTGTTGGAGAAAAACTTTGAAAAATAAACCTAATACCTTAAAAGAGCGGTCACATATTTTTTCCTTTGGAACGGTTTACTCGAGTATCATCTCTATACATCCGAAATAGTTTGCGATTGGTACTTTGACGGTTTTTCGACTTTAACTCACTAGAGCTTAGCGAAAAACGGTCTTATCAAAGCGCAATTTTTTTAGAACATTTATTAGGCATGCCTCTATTCATAAACAGCCTCAAATCAAATTTCGATAGTCCTGCAACCCGACCCCCTCCCCGCCACAAGGATTGAATTTTTTTGCATTTTAGACTCAAGAGCTTAAAATTAGACTGAATAAATAGACCTATATATCTGTAAATTGTAGAAAAAGAAATAAATCAACAGAAGGCAAACTACAAAATAATAATTTTTTGTATGACATATACAGGGTGATTTTTTTATCATGAACCACTCAATATCTCATAGAGTTTCGGATAACTAATTATAAAGTTATAAGAGTTTTAAACTAAAGATTGGAGGGAATGTGTGGTCGGGAAATGAGCGCAGATAAAAAAAATACTACACTCCACATTTTATTCAATTTATTAACAACAATTCCTGCAGACCTCTGACCTCCTGTCCCCTCCCTCTATGTTTTGATTCCAATATGCTTATACTCTACTGTCCTTGTCCTCTCAGATAAAATCACTTTCAAATTAACGCTTTGATGCTTATTTGTAATTACAGCACCTCAATATAAAACTTTCTTACTTTGCAGGTTTACACTGTTCTTTATTTGGACTGTACTGGCTTGAAAATACTAACTACTGATTTGCATAGAAGCGTTTATTCGAATATGATTATATCACTTTCAGATTTAAAAATTCATGTAAACCTTTGACATCCTCATCCCCACTATACCTTGACCCCGCTTTGCTCCGACCCCGCCGTATTAGTTTTTATAAGTAAAGCGGTAGATACGATTGCAGTAGAAGGCGCAGAGCTGATTAGGTATTGGATTTTTATGATTTATTTTTTTATTGTTAAAGAAAATTCCCTCCTCCCAAAAAAAAGGAGAAATTGCACTACGAAAGCTGTAGTTAATTTCTAGGTTGTAATAATATGTGAGAGAGTATAATTGTTCGAGATCCCCCTAAGCTATATCTAAAAAAAATGTTTTGTAGATTTCCACTTATTTTTATTTTTTTAATTTAATATATTTTGTTTTATGATCATGACTGAAAGTTTAAACAGTTTTTGACTACAAAATAATATAATTGTATATAATATATATAAATGTAATTATACAATAAAAAAAACATTGGCTAAGCGTAACTGGAGAATAACAGGATTAAAGAAAATGGTCTGTAATTATACCTATCATGAAATACTCAAAACCTACTAGAACTATGGTTTTTCTAAGAGCACAATTCATTTTTAGTTGGACTGAGTATTAAATATTAGTTCTTAATTAAAATACGCCTATTATAGAGGCTCAATATATATCTAGTTCAAAACATTAAAAAAAATAATGGTGAATACAGGTGATTCATTAAATTTAGGTTCCATTTTTTTTTACTAAAAGAATTCTAATTGTTAGTTTTTTTTAAACATTTGCAATTAAATTTGGATATTTATGTCAAAAAAATATTCAAATAAATATAATATACATTATTTAACAAATATTATTTAAACTATATGGAAACTGAGCTATTAACGTATGACGCAAATGGCAATGTTATTTGGAAAAAAACAGCAGTTTATCTAAAAACACCCAAAGCTGATTAAACAGTTCGTTAGCTGTAAACAACTTTAGTTATCGTTGCATAAAAATATTATCCAATATTTCAAATATTCCTGATATTTTTCAAACACAATGAAACGAAATGTTAGGGATTAAGTTACCCTCTGAAAAATACAAAATTGGTCCCACTCTAACTATGGTTAATATAACGGCGCAATACATTTTAGTTGGACTGAGTGTTTAAAAATTTGGTCTAAATTAAAATACGCTTATTATAGGGGCTCAATATATTTCTAGTTAAAAAGTTAAGTACATGTGGTTCTAACAAATCACTTAATTATGCCAACTAGAAATTAATAGTGACTCTACATTAAATATATTTTAGATTTGCATTAGCTATAAAATTATTTTGCATAGGAGTGTGGTATACAAACAAATAGTAAAGATATGTCAAATATATGTTTTATGGTGAATACATATGATTCATTAAATTTAAGACCCATTTTTTTTTACTATCGTACCATAAAATATTGTCCAATATTTTTAATATTCCTGATATATTTCGAACACAATGAATCAAAATGTTAATTATATTATTTATTTGATAATTAGGGGAATAAGTTTCCTTCTGAAAAATATAATGTTGGTCAAATTAAAACTATGGTTAATATAACGGCACAATACATTTCTAGTTGGGCTAATTATTAAAAATTTGGTCTTAATTTAAATACGCTTATGGTAGGGGTTCAATATATTTCTGGTTCAAAAAACTAAGTAAAAGTGGTTCTAACAAATCATTTAGTTAAGCCAACTAGAAATTAATCATGTTTCTACTTTATATATATTTTAGGTTTGCACCAGCTAATAATTTATTCTGCGTAGGAAGTTGGTATACAAACAAATAGTAAAGATATGTCAAATGAATGTTTTAAAGTGAATACAGATGATTCATAAAATATAGGACCCATTTTTTCTATAATAAATCTAATTTAAAATTTCTCTTTTTTTTAACCTTTTTTAATTACTAAATTTGGATAATAGTGTGTTAAAAGAACATTCAAATAAATAAAATATACATTATTTAACAAATATTATTCAAACTATATGGAAACTGAGCTATTAACGTATGACGCAAATGGCAATGTTATTTGGAAAAAAACAGCAGTTTATCTAAAAACACCCAAAGCTGATTAAACATTTCGTTAGCTGTAAACAACTTTGGTTATCGTTGCATAAAAATATTATCCAATATTTCAAATATTCCTGATATTTTTCAAACACAATGAAACGAAATGTTAGGGATTAAGTTACCCTCTGAAAAATACAAAATTGGTCCCACTCTAACTATGGTTAATATAACGGCAAAATACATTTTAGTTGGACTGAGTGTTTAAAAATTTGGTCTAAATTTAAATACGCTTATGGTAGGGTTCAATATATTTCTAGTTAAAAAGTTAAATAAAAGTGGTTCTAACAAATCATTTAATTATGCTAACTAGAAATTAATAGTGTCTCTACATTAAATATATTTTAGATATGCATTAGCTATTAAATTATTTTGCATATGAGGGTGGTATACAAACAAATAGTAAAGATATGTCAAATATATGTTTTGTGGTGAATACATATGATTCATTAAATTTAGGACCCATTTTTTTTTTACTAAAAGAATTCTAATTGTTAGTTTTTTTTAAACATTAACAATTAAATTTGGATATTTATGTCAAAAAAATATTCAAATAAATATAATATACATTATTTAACAAATATTATTCAAACTATATGGAAACTGAACTATTAAAGTATGACGCAAACAGCAATTTTATTTGGAAAACAACAGCAGTTTATCTAAAAAACACCTAAGGCTTTTAAAACATTTCGTTAGCAGTAAACAATTTTGGTTATCGTAGCATGAAAATATTGTCCATTATTTCAAATATTCCTGAATTATTTCGAACACAATGAATCGAAATGTTAAATATATTATTGAACTTAAATATTAAAGAGATTAAGTTACCATCTGAAAATACAAAGTTGGTCAAATTAAAACTATAGTTAATATAACGGCACTTTACATTTCTAGTTGGATCGAGTTATTAAAATTTGGTCTCAATAAAAATACGCTAATTATGGGGGCTCAATATATTTCTAGTTCAAAAAACTAAGTAAAAGTGGTTTTAACAAATCATTTAGTTAAGCCAACTAGAAATTAATCGTGTTTCTACATTAAATGTATTTTTCATTTGCACCAGCTAATGATATATTCTGCGTAAGAGGTTGGCATACAAATTAATAGTAAAGATATGTCAAATGTATGTATTATGGCAAATACAGATGATTCATAAAATATAGGACTCAGTTTTTTTATAATAAATCTAATTTAAAATTTTTCTTTTTTTTAAGCATTTTCAATTACTTTAGTTGGATTTTAGTGTGTTAAAGGAGCAATCAAATAAATAAAATATACATTATTTAATACATGCTATTCAAACTTTATGGAAACCGAGTTATTAAAGTATGACGCAAATAGCGATGTTTTTTTTGGAAAACAACAGCAGT